CCCCTTCCCAGGAGACAGGAGGAGGCAGTACAAAGCACCTGCTTTCTGGCACGCAGCCGCGAGCCCTGGCCGCGGGGCCCAGGTCTGTGTGCACGCGGGCCCCCACTGCTGTCCGGAGGCACGTGCGTTCTTAGCATGGCTGCGCTTCTTCCTGGAGCTCTTTGGCTTCTATCTTCCCAGATCCGCACTTCCCTCCTTACCACCTTCACATACACAGCGTGAAAGCCACCACTCTTCGCCAGTCTCAACCAGTACGGAACAGGTGACAAACTGGACACCAGTCACGTGTCAGCTCTCTCCTCTCTCACCCTCGACTCTCAGCAGGCCCTCAGATGCAGCACACTGGCCTGCCCTGAGAACGTCACCAGAGGCCCTTGGAAGCTAGGCACAGTCTCCCTGGGGGACCGTCACCGAGCTATCGCTCTGCACGTCACCTGGACCTGCTCTGGGAGGCCCCACTGCACAGACCTTCCTCAAGCCCTAGAACCAGATGTGATGTTGTTGTGACAGGGACCCAGCTGCAGGAGGACCCTGGTGACTCGGCTTCATAGGTCAGGACTGGGGCCTGGCAACCAGCATTTAGCAAGGTGCCCAGGTTAAGATTCTGATGATCAACGTAGCCAGAGGACCACTGGGGCACCCACCACGTACAACCTGCTTTCTTGAGTATAATTCCCGATCCTGTCCTTTAATAGTTCCAGAACATCCCAAGGTCGGAGAAAGCACAACTTATCAAATCCCTGGATATATAATTGGCTCAGCTCTGATTCTTCACCATTGCAAACGATGCCACAACGAACACCTCCACCTGTATATCTCTTGCACACCTGTCTGCGAACTGCCACGCACTAAATTTCTAGACGTGGACAGATGCTGGGGCACAGCATGCACTCATCCAAAAATCAGGAACCAAGGGCACTGCCTCCAGAGGCTCTGGCTCAGGCCTGCCTCCCTTCATTCTTCAAGCTTCCACGCCTCATGCGGGCAGCCTTCCTTGAGCACCCAGAGAAGGCTGAGCGTCTCGCTGCTAAGGCTGACCGCCGCAGCTTGCACTTCCGTCTCCTTACTGTCCCCAGGCTCCCAACCATAACCTACGGTCTCTGTCCCCACAAAATCTTCTAGAACACAGACCAGGGGGCCATGTTCTAGTGATCTCAGTACTTCACGTGTACCAATAGGTACTCAATAATCTTGGTTAAATGGCATTAAGTTAATCAAGAGCACACGAAAAGGCGAAACTTCCAGATGGACCATCTGGGGGCTGAAAGTATAACGGTCTAACCTGGGTATCACGTTTCAGGACTGGCTGGAAGCCTGAGGGAGGGCAAGGTCATTTCCGAGCAGGACTGTCCTGCGAATCTCTGGTTCCAATGGGTACCACAAGGTGGTGCTAGAGCCCCACCGAACTGGGTCACTTCACCGGACCAACCTGTGGCTGGATGTCTCTGGGGCCTCATTCTTCAAAGACACAGAAGCTACGCTTGCCAGGAGGAGGCTGTGTCCACAGGGTTTCAATGGCAACATGCGTCTCTCGACTGGAAGGTCACATCCCCTCACCCCAATAAGCCAGGCCCCGCTCGCCTTACCTTTCCACGCTGCAAGGGACGTTTAAGGGGGTTCTGGTTTCTTCCTTGATGGGGCAGTCTTCTTTATCCTCCCCGGTTTCGTCCTTTACCCACTGGTGGTTTGGGAAGAATTCCTTGCACTTCCCATTGTGTGGCTCCAGGATTCGTTTGGGTGGCCGGGGAGGAGGGGGGACGTGTTCGGGTGGGGGCTCCAGGTCCTCGTGGGAGAGCTCCTTCCATTGCTCCTGGAGAAAGCGAGAGAAAGTTCCATTCGTATTCACACCGGGCTGATGTGTCAGGAAATCTGCTCCCCTTTAGGCGAGCAGAGGCGAGGGGCTTTCTCTGCTTCTTGGGGCTGCAGACACATATACTCGGAAGGTGAAATCTTTCGAAAATAAAGTCTACTCTCCCTATCAACGTTCTCTACGTCAACACGTCAAAGGCAGAAACCGGAACGTGGTGAACGTTTCCGCAGCTTTCTAGCTTTTTAAACACGAAGGACAGCTGTTTCTTCTGACATGTGCTAGTGTTTGAACTTTTACAGCTGACAGCCTCCTTCTTCAGAGACAAAAGTTCGAGATCAACACACCTGGATGAAAGCAGAAGCAATGCTTACCTGTACTGAAGAGTCTCCCATGATGAATTTGGCACCTTCGATCACAGCTAGGTAGGAGAAACGGAGCTGGTCTGCTGTCTGGATCAGTCCCATCCGAAATTTCCTCATTTCTAACAGAACTTTCTTGATATCAACAGAAGAAGGATCTTTCCTCTTGTCCATCTGAAAGCCAGAGAGGAGACACCCCGAGTCAGCTCCAACTCCCAAGTACAATGTGATTTTTCCATGTTCTGGAGGAGTGCTCTGGTTTCTACTCAGCAAAAAATCTCCATGGGGAGGCGGAATTGGAGACAATGTGAGTAAATGCAGCAAAATGGGGACCACCAGAGCACAGGGGAAAGAATGAGAGAAGAGCATTCTTTGGATCTTCCGTGATTCTGCAATTCAACTGGAGAACATCCCTTTGAACAAAAGCTACTTAGGGTAGAGCTACTTTCACAGGAGGGCAAGTGTTAAAAACGGAAGATCGTTGCTAGTTCACTGCCGAGACCATGACAGAGAAGCCGTGGGCAGAGGCCACAAGAGATGTTCAAATGGGTTCCCTTCTCTTCCCAGGATCTTCAGGGGCCTCCTCACCAGCAGGAGGCAGGTGTCAGCCAGACAGAAGGTCCCCGACCTGCCGATGCCCGCACTACAGTGCACCACGACAGGGCCATGCTCCGTGCTGAGTGACCCTGACTCGCGGACTTTAAAAAGGAAGTTCAGGAACGAAGCTGGCGATTCTGGGACGCCAAAGTCAGGCCACGTGGTATAGTGGAAATGTAGGATCTCTCGAGTTTCTTGAGACTGAAAGAAAAACAAAAACAAAAACAAAAAGACACCTCATGCCAATTCCGAGACAATCATCTGTACAGAAATCACTGCTTCCGAGTAAGCACGAAGAGTCGTCCCCACCAGGCCCCCATCTCACTCTAAGAGCAGCTTCGCCTCTCAGATTTCCAGATCTCCTCCCGTCCACTCGCCGAGTCAAGGAATACCAAGCACTGAGGTGCCCGACACTGGACACCTGCCTTGACGTCCCTTCCCTTTAGCATGGAACATCCTCACCCACATCTCTCCTCCGGTGCCCCTATCACCTCTGCTGTCTTCACGGTTACAAGTGATTTCTCTCTGCCCCACGAGGCACAATGATGCCGCGTCGCCGCCCACGGCAGTCCTGTCCTCAAGCCCTGTAAGGCTTCCCGCGAAAGAGGGAAAACGTAACTCTGTGCGTGTGGCACCAGCTCTGGGTCATCCCGGGCTTCACGAGACTACTCGGGAGTCTCAGGGAATTGCCATTTTAGAGAAAAAAAGGAACCAGCTCAGTCTCCAAGGCTTGGTGGCTGCCACGTGGGGCTCGATGGCCCAGCTGAGGAGGAGGGTGTCGACCCCACCAGTCCCAACTGGCCCCACCGCGTTCTAGCGCCAGACGCATCAGCTCACTGAATTCTCACGTTAACCCTCTGGGGCGTGTATGCCCGCTATTCCCCTCTTCTTGGTTAGGAGACTGAGGCTCGGAGGCTGACCCTCCATTAAGTGAGGAAGTAGGAGTTTAAGTTTGGACTCCAGAGCCCGTGTTCAGAGCCTGAGGCAGGAACTTTTGAAAGGAAGACCCTGGCCCTCGTCCCCAAGTGTTTCTCCCCTGGCCCGGTCTGCTCCCAGTGCAACAGCAAGAAGAATGGCCCTCTGGTGCCATTTTCAGCTCTGCTCCTCCTTCTGAACCTACGAAGAGTCCACCCCCAGGGTGGACACCTGGCCTCCGGCAGAAATGATCAAAACGTAGTTCTCAGTGGGAGGAGAGTACTCAAGATTTTGCTCGGCGAAGGGCACACCATTCACGGGAGCCAGTCTTACTATGGGGTAGGTACACCTGCCGGCCTCGCCAAAGCGGGCACAGGAAGAAGACATGCAGACAGGAACCACACCGCCTTGAGCATCTATCTCCCTGCCACACAGTGCCAAGGGCCACGTCAGTGCCTAGGTCACCTGGAGAGCAGCTGGTGGCAAAATGCTCTGGGCCAGAGGCCTGCTCACCAACAATGCCTCCCCTCACTTAACAAAATGTGCCCAAAGTGCCTACCATGTGCCAGCCACGTGGCAAAGACACTGTCCATGCCTTCCCAGAGCTTAGTTTTAGTTGTGACCGCCTTCCTGGGGCTCAGTGGGATGAAAACGTATGAAAGAGCCTACAGAAAACCCCAGTGACTTCACATCAGCAACACATATACATATGTAACCCTGCACCAGCCCTGACACACAGGCATCCTTCTGCTGAACTGGAAGAATCTGCCGGTGACATGAAGATGATTAATAGAACCACACCAGGCAATGCCATTTTCTTCCTCCCTAGAAAACGGTCTCCTTGTGTGGCTGAAAACGAGAAATGCCCTTTCTGGTTTTTAGGGAAAGAAAAACACTTAAAAATAGATGTAAAGATGGGGGTGGGGGTGGGGGGGGAAGAAAATATACCAAAAGCAAGTTCTTTCTTTCAATCCTTAAAAAGGTACGGTTGTCTCCTGTTCATCCCCTCCCGCACACCTGCCCACCTCTTTCTCAAGGAGTGCATTCTAGACCTGTGTCTCAACAGACACACGGCTGAGAAAAGAATTTTTCAAAACAAAGTCTTTTAGAGCGACCAGATCTTCTCAACATCAAAACCTCCACACTGCTGCACGTATTCTGCCAACACAGCACGGGCCGCTTCTGCTCGGTCGGAATTCCATTTCCCTCAACAAGCCGGAGATACCGTCTCAAGAGTTTACCAGAAGTCGCGCTTCATGTTGGGCTTGCAAAATTTAAAGAGCACGCAGAGGAAAGTCTACTGCATAATCCTCCAGGCACGTTACAACACGCTGCCAACATTATTCCTGAAAATCCTCCGTCAAACCCCTCCATAAATCACAGCCCTGGAGCCCGCGTGTGTGGCTGCAGCAGGATCACGGCTGCAGAGCCGTCACACAGAGAAGAGACAGCACTCAGGAAGTGCCCTGCGGTGCTCGCGGAAGCCACGCGACTTCAACCTCTCCTCTGCTTCGTGGTCACCCGCGCGGAGGTCTAGATCTTGTTTCAATTAGTAACGCAACAACAGGAGTCATGTGCACTGGAAAGCAGGAAGTTGAAAACTGGCACGTGAATGAAACTCGGGGGCAGACTCACCTCGGCGCAGCCCGGCAAGCCGCGGTCCTGCCTTCCCTTCCATCTGTGGGTACGCGCTGCTCCCGGGCCAAACCCGTTGCTTCGACCCCACGGTACCTGCTGCCCCAGTGCTGCTCTACCTCTTCCCCTTTGTTACCTTCTGAACCCTTACAAAACCCCCCTCTGAATGAAGGGGAAACTGAGACACGGGGAGACATGATGCCCCGCCACCCGAAGTCTGACAGTCTGACACGGCGGGGCCAGGAATCCACCCCATGCAGCTATGTTCCAGAAGGTGGTGGCTGGCCGCCATCGCTGTGGCCGTCCCGGGAGCTGCTGGGAGCTCCCGCCCGCGGCTCCAAGTACTGGTGGAGGGTCCCCACACGGCAAGCGCTCCTGCTGGGCTGTTTGGAATCCCCACGCGGGCCTTCTGCGGTACAGCTTCGCAGCCCCGCACCTTGGCCCGTTTCAAGACCAGCTTCCAATGACAGCCAGCAGCTGGTGTTACAAATTCTTCCACAACGAGTAAACCCAAGACCTCATCGGCCGTGAACTCAGCCCCAGAAGGGTCCTTCTTCCCTCGCTTCGCGCTAAAGAGACCGTGGACGACAAAACAGGCAGCGGCTGCTACATAACGTGCAGGCCACCATTTCAGTCCCTCTGCGGTTGCAAAGACAAGAACAGAGAAGTTTTAGATGAGAAACCCCCCTTTCCCTAAAAACCGTGATGAACTGGTGTTCCAGTTTAGGGAGGGAGCTCTGTGGCGAGGGAGGGACCAGAAAAACCGGGGTTAGGTAGTATGACCCAGGTGAAAAGACATCTCAGCCAGTGCCCGTCTGAAGTACGGAACAGCACGCGATACTCACTGTAAGGTTTTCCAATTCTAGCTGCCGCACTGTGTAATACGACTTAATATCTTCAGAGATCAAGGTTAGTTTCAAATTTGTGTCTTCGAAGATCATTTCTTTTTCTTCTTTCTGGGGCCAGTACTGCGCACATTTTAACTAGGAGAGAAAAGAATGCATTACTGTGAGCCACGGACGGTTTTCCTATGAAAGGGAGGTACAAAGTGCCTTCCACGCGCTTTAGGACAACCCAACGGGGAAACCGGGAGTTTTCTGACCTTGGAGGTCACCGTCAGCACAACCTGCCTCTTGGGGAGACGGGAAGGGGGTGAAGACCCAAACCAGGACTAGCTGGGCAGAGAGGGCTCGGACCTCCAAACGCAGCCGCTCCCTGGTTCTCCCCACCATGAGGCGCTCCAGGGGTCTGGTCCTTCCAGACCATCTATGAAGCGAAGTCAAACTGTACAAAAGTTTTAGTCTCTCACAGACTCTACTTGCACAGCCATCTGGAAGACTACCAAGAACTGGTCAGTGCCGTTGGCACAACGTAGGCTCCTTACCCTGGGGAAAACAACCACGTCTAGAGGAGACAGTGGAACACGGTGAACAGGCTGGATGTTTAGAGAAGGCAGGAGACGGGCTCCTCCGGGGCTCGGGATCACCCACTGCTGTATGCCACCCTTTCATTCTGGTTTGGGTCGGTGCTGAAAAATCCTTTTGATTTTCTAGTTTAAGAATTTCAGGAATAATTTCAGGTCTTCATTTAAATGTAGCTCATGAACTTTTTCTTCAAAGTAAGCAAACCCCCAAATTTGGTTTTATTTAGAGTTCAAGAAAAAATTGGGACTCAAATTTAGTGGCATACCTTCAACTAGGTTTCCACGGCAGACTGTTCTGTTTGCTGGTGAACATTTTGGACCAAAATAGCTGATAGATGGGGGCTAAGCTGAAGGTCTATGAACCACACGGTCAGACAAGGTGCCCAGACAGAGGGAACCCCAAAGACATGATTTCCACCACATGAAGTACCAGTGGACGTAAACAGCTCTTTGGGAAATGGTACAAATCCAAGCGAGTTGCAACTGAACACGCACTGGCCCCCTCCGTACCTTCTCCGAGGCACAGGGTGCTGTGTCTGAAATGCCACAGGAGGTGGAAGGAACCCTGCAGGGCCAGCCTGCCCGTCAGGAGAGAGACTGTTTGTGCTAAGCAGTGACGTGGTGGTGTGGCAGGAGGAACCCCTGTGGGTGTGCCGTGGGAATTCAGAAGAGGGGAATAATGTTCCAGGCCAGCTGAGGTTACAGGAAAGAGATCAGGGAAAACTATACGGAAGAAGTGGCCTCTGACAGGGGTGCACTTGGAGGGGTGACTGGGGTTTCGCAGGCAGTGACTGCCCAGAAGCCAGTGCCAGAAGAGCAACAGGGGGGCAGGGACAGACCACGGTGACTCTGGCAGAAGGCCCAGGAGCCCACGGCGTCCCCTGGGCAGCAAAGAGCCAGGATGCTCCTCAGCAGACCAGAGACAGAAGCACGAAGGCCCACTAGGCCTGCTCTGACGAAGCCGCACGCGGCCCAGCTGCAGCTGTTCTGCAACCACAGAAAAAGGAGAAACACCCCAACAGACACCAGATCGTGATGTCAGCGTAGCATCGACGTCACAGTTCCGAAACAGAAGGCCCACACGGCTTTCGAAAGAGCCCGGACAGGGCCTGTTTGAAAGACCCGGCCAGTTTCACCCAGATCACCTCCCTGACACCGAATGTCAAAGATGAACCCCCGGAACACGGCCAATCTGTCAGCCTCAAGGTAATTCTGCCCCTCGGGACGCAAAGCATCAGCGACGTGGCAAGGCCCCGTGCTCAGCCAAAGTGGGCAGGGCAGCCAGCACTGGTGACAGAAGAGGTTTAAAGGATGCATTTATTCCCACGCTTCCGACCATTAGGGCCATGCGGCTCCTGAAGACCCCAGAACCAAAGAGCCTGCCCCGGCGGGCGCAACACCACATGAGCTGGACCACGCACCCGGGGCCACGAGCGAGCAGAGAAGCGGGAAGGCAGAATGGCCGGTCGCTACCAAAGAAGAGGCCAATGCTTTCGGGTCTCATGGGCAGGGAAGAACGAGTCTTTCAAATTTCACCTCCACACAGCAAACACTCACTTTCAAAACTGCATATGAAGCCTAAGAAACCTCCGCGATCAGGTACAAGCCCGAGATTCTGGACGCCTACTACTTCCAAAGAAAGTCCGCAAGAAGTGCGCAATCCCGGCACGCATGAAGTGTGCATCGAGCCGTATTTGTTTTTAAGAGCTCTCAGGCATTCGCGGTAACGTGCCACGCTCTCTTGCTGTCATTTCCCGTAGGAATTTTTGTTTTAACACAGAAAATGAAACAAAACAAAAAACTGAACCTCGAGATCACTACTTCCTGCTAGCCTTTAAACTGACACACACCAACCCGAGAAGGAGATTTATCTTACTCGAAAGCAGTCCTTCACCAGGATTCAAATCGTGCCACGTCCTGGGCCGGCCCCAAACGTCACCATGGCAGCACCAACACGCCGGTGGCTGTCGTGGCTGCCGTTACCACCTGGAAGCTGGATGGGAGACAGAGGCCCCGGCCTTCCAAAACAGCTAGGCATCTTTAGAAAAATCCATGAATGACACCTGGGGTGACCCTGTGACGGAGGAGTCGGCTTTCCCAAGGAGTGACAAGCCAGAGAGCTAACTAAGCAGACGGATGAAGCCTGAAGTTCCCGTGATACAAATCCAGAGCGTCTCGTGTGCAAAAGCACTGAAATCAAACAGCGCCTTTAGCTGCGGTTTCGGGAGAGAGATACAGGCGGTGCTTCTGGTTAAACAGCACCTTGCTTGTCCGCCCTGCCTAAACAGCCACCACCCCTGCCCTTCCCCACATACACACTCTTCACGCACATGTCTCCGCTCAATCTGGAAATCGAACCAAGACCTTCGGGTACCTGGATGAGCGCAGTCTCACACACATTTCCCGCACTGCTGTTTTCCAGGAAGCACAAGGTCCCAAAAGGGTTAACGGCCAGCTCTGCCAGAAATAAGAGGGGCATGTCCTACCCTACGCAGAGAAGGAAGGAAACCACAAAACAAATACGCATCACATGGAAACGCTCTGCAAGCTGGTTCGTACCGTGGGACGGCTGCACGGTTTATAATTAGATTAGCTAAGCAAATAAGGCACTGCAACCTCTTACAATTTGCCCCAGTCAGCTCTAATGGGGATGATAATATCAACGCTGGACTGGAACTGCTGACCCCAAGAAGCTTTAAGAACCTCAAACCATTCATTCACCGCTTTCCACGTCGGTGGGCATGACCCTGAGCGGGAAGGACAGTTACAAAGGAAGAGAGAGACTAACGTCACACGATCACAGTAAAGTACGAGAGAATCAACTAGCCAGGTTTCCTTTTTTTCTTCCAATGGCCAAGGGGGAAACTTGTCAGAGGATGGATGGTCCATTTACGGTCAGCATTGGATGGCGGGCAACCAAGCACAGGCCCGGTGAGCAGCACGCAGTGCCAACGTCACGACAGCGCCCCTGCGGGACTGTGCCAGCGGCAAAGCGGTTTCACCCAAACCTTCAGTACCAAATAAAAAGGAAATGCTACCATATCCAATGATTTCTGGATAAACAACCCGATTTAAAATTCCCTACCCTTCAGGGCGCCTGGGTGGCTCAGTCGGTTAAGTGTCCGACTCTTGGTTTTGGCTCAGGTCGTGACCTCGCGGTTTGGGAGCTGGAGCCCTTCATCGGGCTCCGCGCTGTATGGAGCCTGCTTGGGATCCTTTCTTTCCCTCTCTCTGTGTCCCTCCTCCGCTCACACTCGTGCTCCCTCCCTCTCTCAAAAAACAAACAAACTCAAAAAAATTAATAAAAAAGAAAATTCCCAACCCTCAATACCATCCAGAACAGTGCTTCGCAACTGGGGGCGAGTTTGCACAGATTTGGACAATGTCTGGAGACCTTCTGATTGCCACCAGTGGGGCAGGCAGGCCAGCGGCATCTCGTGGGTGGAGGCCAGGGCCGCTGCCCAGCAGCCTCCCATGTCCTCCCGTGTCAGCGGTGCTGATGTTTAGAGACCCTGGACGCTCCCGAGTGCTGAACGTGTGGCCAGGCCACCACGTTTCACGTTCCCTTGCGGAGAGTGTATACTGTGGGAACCTAACATTTGTCTCTTTATTCTAAATTGCTGACAAGAGTGGTGACGGGTGGGAGGTGGCTCCACATTTGTAACTTCACATTTTACTAATCAAGCCACTGAAGCAGAAAACATGAAAAACCACTTTCACTGAAAACAATTTTCTAAGAAGCAGGATTTCATTCTTTGAACACGCAGGTGAGCTCTCCATCTGTTGTTATCGAGCAAATAAATACTTTAAGATTAAGAAAAGGGCGCAGAGGCAAAAAGCCTGATTTTCGACATGCGCTGTCGTGCCTTGCCGTGGGCTGTAACTAAGAATGGCTCTTGGCGGGGGGGCGGGGGGGGGGCTCCGTGGGGGTGCTTCCCTTTGTCTCACTGCTTAAGTCCCCTTCGATGTTACTTCTCCGCACTCGTACTGTTACCCTCTAGGGCCACGAGTGTGCTTTCCTTGGAGGGTCGGCTTCTCTGGAGCCTTCTGCTCTCCTGGCAAGCCGGGACCCGAGGCGGCCAGGACAGCTGTGAGCGCAGTGGCCCGGGTGAGCCCCAGAGCACAGGGCCGGCTCCTGGCAAAGCCTGGGCACACGCCGTTCTCTGCTCCTGGCCACTCATTCCCACTGGTGTCCGCATTCCTCCGCTCGCTTTCTCCCAGGGCCTCCACTGCCGAGGCCGGAGAGCCCCCGGCTGGGAGAGGAGGGAAGGAGCCAGGTAGCAGGGGTGTGGCGTCTATTCGCTACACTGACGCCACTGTGCCCCGCACACAACATCCCCTCGCGTGGGAGACGGGCCTCTAACGGGCAACCCACACGATGAGATGGGCGGGAGAGCACGAGCCGTGGCTGACTCGAGGGAAGCCACTGGAGATACCTGCAAGAGGGCTGGGGTGGGACAGTGACTCAGACTGGTCCAGAGAACTGAAACAACAGACGTGTGTTGTGGCTGGAGTCCGGGGACGGATGTGGGAAACTGGGGTCCCGGTTAACTGGTCCTGTAGCCACAATGGGCACATCCCAGGAGGCAGTGGGAGCCCCACAAGGGTTTTCAGCTGGGAAAAGGGGTGGTGTCACCTGGTCTCGGTGTAGGATGCGCTGAGGAGGACAAGTCGAAAGGCCAGGGCAGTGGCTCAAGGGACAGATGCACGCAGGCTAGGGTGTTCCTGAACAAATATGAACACACCGTGGAGAGAGACTGACTGATGAGTGAGGGATAGGTCAAGGGCAATTGGGACCTTTCCCCCTCTTTTTAATTCATTCACTTTTCTGACTCGTTTACAATAAACATGTATGCGTGTATCACTTCTTTAAATTTTTCTACTAAAAAGGACACTACGTAAAAGAAATACAAAAGCAATTTCAAGAGATCGACTCAGACAAAAATGACAACTTCACGGACCGGTGCGCTTACGGACGGTAACGTAAAGAGCAGATAAATCCGTCACTTACCGAGCCTTTCTCCATCACTCTGTTGAGCATGACCACGCCCCTGCTTTTCTGCTCCCACACCATCTCCCAAAAGTGACCACACGTGTTAGGCAAAGGGCCCTGCAAATACACAATCCACAAAGTGTGTGTGATGTTACAGTGACTCACTCCACCGAGAGCTCACCACTGGCGGTCGGCCGACGACAGTGCCCTTAGGCACAGGGGCAGCTGAGGCTGGGACAGGTGCCACCCTCCCTGCCTAGTGGTGGTGAAAGGTTGTATCTGCCTCTCAGGGCTGGTTCAGGGCCGACCAGCAGAGGACAGAAAATGCGGATTCTGCTTTCCGGTTTGAGCTGGCTAGCAGAGGGGCTCCACTGAGGCCCCTCTTGACGGTGAGTGGAATATGGCCACAAAGCTAGTGGGTGCTGGGAAGAGGCAGTATGGGGAAGTGATCATCGGTGACACTTCTGGTGGCTTCAGTTCAGCTCCAATCACTGATCATCCGCGTGACCTGGGATGAGTCACTTCACATCTCTATGCCTCAGTTTCTCCACCCAGCTCACTCAACCAATCATAGTCCTTATTCACAGGGCTGTGAAGGGAATATTAACTATATCCGTTCATGTAAAGGTTTTACCGTAGCACCTGGAACATGGTACACATCCAGTGGAATGTTAGCTATTATTACTATTACTAACGATGAGGGGCGCCTGGGTGGCTCAGTCGGTTGGGACTCTGTCTGTCCCTCCCTCTCTGACCCTCCCCCACTCGTGTTGTCTCTTTTCTCTTTTTTTTCCTTTTTAATGTTTATTTATTTTCGAGAGACAGAGAGACAGAGCACGAGTCGGGGAGGGGCAGAGAGAGAGGGAGACACAATCTGAAGCAGGCTCCGGGCTCTAAGCTGTCAGCACAGAGCCCGATGAAGGGCTCGAACTCATGAACCATGAGATCATGACCTGAGCTGAAGTCAGACACTAAACTGACTGAGCCACCCAGGTGCCCTTGTCTCTCTTTCAAAATAAATAAGCTTAAAAAAAATAAACAATGATGAACCTGGAGCACCTGGGTGGCTCAGTCGGTTAAGCACCCAACTCTTGATTTCGGCTCAGTTCATGATCTCACGGTTTGTGGGATCGAACTCCACGTCAGGCTCTGCACTGACAGCATGGAGCCTGCTGGGGATTCTCTATCCCCTTCTCTCTCTGCCCCTCCCCTGCTCACACATGCATGCTCTCTCTCAAAATAAATA